GACTGCGTGGGGTTGCACAGCGCGGTCCGCCCCCACCCCTCCCCCGCCCCGCCGTCGGCTTGCACACAACAGCAGGTGCACTGCCCCCATTTTGCGCGGTCCTAGCCAGCAGAGGTGCGGCAGTGGCAGGCAGTGTGCGGGTGGGGCTAGTGACCCCGAAGGTCCCTCACCCCTGCGGCTGCAGGCCCGCGCCGATACTGCCGCCTCCGCGGAGATTCGAACGCAGGGGTCGTGGGGTTGCACAGCGCGGTCCGCCCCCACCCCACCCCCACCCCGCCGTCGGCTTGCACACAACAGCAGGTGCACTGCCCCCATTTTGCGCGGTCCTAGCCAGCAGAGGTGCGGCAGTGGCAGGCAGTGCGGGTGGGGCTAGTGACCCCGGAGGTCCCTCACCCCTGCGGCTGCAGGCCCGATTCCACTGCCTCCGGAGATTCTAACGCGGGGGTCGGCTCACAGGGGTTGTTTTACAGGGGGAAGGATTTTTGAAAGTAGACAACATAGGCCAGTACATAGGTAGGCCCAGACGACATGACCCCGCCCGTCAGGCAGACTGAAAACCGCCCCTGTAGGCTCCAATGGCTCCAGGGGTTCCAGCTCGGGTTCCAGAGGCATCACAAGCTTCAGGGGCTCCAGAAAGTCCAGCGGCGTGACGGGGGGGGGGGGGGGGGGCAGCTCGCGTCGCGCCAGTTGCAAAAATAGACAAGGGTCGCGCCTCCTTAGTCTTATCTAATGCGCCTTCGCTCATTTTCTAGAAGAGATACACTATTTTTTCTCTGCCGTGTATTTTCGGAGGGTTGCGGGCGGAGTGCGTCCGTGTGCGCCGCTTTCTCCGGGGGCGGCGACGGCTGCGGCGGCGGGGAGGCTCGGCTGGGGGTGGGGGAGGAGAGGCACTTCTCACAATGGACCCTCCGATGAGGAGAAATTCGTCTGCAGTGCCGAGAATTATGAAAAGCATACTGGGCCGGGCAGACACAGAGGGGGACGGGCGGACACAGGGCCGGGCCGGGGGTCAGTGCCTGGGCCCGAGCGCGGCGGTCCCGTTGCGCCCGCACCGCATGATTTATAGACGCGTAGTGACGGGCAGGGCGCGCAATTTGCAATGGGGAAATGGGTGATAACTGCAGGGGTCCGTCTGCCGGGGCGGGGCGCTGCACGGCCCCATTGTCCTGGCCGCTGCTACGTGACACCCCCCACCCTCCCCCCTCTCCGTTTGCTTATGAAGACAGATTGGGCCGAAGTCTGATTGCCCGAGGGGTCATTGGCCCGGCCCGGAGTTGCCGCATATCCGCACATCATCCCTCCCTCCCTCCCTCCCTCTTTCTGGCTAGGGCTAGGGCTACCTTCACAATTTTGCGAAATGGAAGAGGTATACATTTATCAGGACCCGGCGCTTGATCAGCGACGTATTTTTACTGACGATATAAACGCATATAAATCATAACATACCTTAAATCACGCTGGGATGAAATCGATCATGATGATAATGATGATTACACAATGGTGTATACAAAATACAAGCAAGCAGACAGGGTGCCTGTGCTCCTTTGGCTGGCACCCGGGACGTTTTAAAAGCGTTTTAATACCTCTTATCAAATTAAAGTAATTTT